GTTGGGGGAGGTGTCTTTAAAGGGGTGGTGAAGAATGCCTGGCAGGTATGGCAATTAGCATATGGGGTCTGGCCATTTCACGGATTGCTTGTTGACTTCTTGCGGCTTCCTTTGAACCCAGAACATCCGGTCTAGCTTCCTAATAGCGGTTGTCTTATCTTTCGCCTTTTGTTCTGGCTTGCCATTGGTCTTGGGGGTGTTCAGCCCTTGTCTTCCCGCTCCCATCCAGACACCCAGCAGCACTGCCCAAAGCAGATTTCGGAGGCTGGGGTCAGACATCCTCCACCCACCACCCTACCTACCAATTCTGACACCAACTATGCCTCCCACAGGACTCTCTACTTTTTAGCTGGGAATAAGTTCCAATTCAGATGAGAAATGCTCAGAATGGAATTGCTCAATCAGGACAGTTTTTGCTCTGCCATAGTTAAAGCCCTGGTAGTATAATGGTTGTGTGTTGGACTGTGTTTCTCATGGTCAGCAGTTGGAAACCACCAGCAACTTGGTCCTTTCTACTTCCATAAACCCTATGGGTCAGCATGGACTTGGCAGCGTTTGGTTTTGGTTTATACCTGCAAGCAGAGCTCTCTCTGACTCTTAGCCTCTTGGTCTAGTCTCTGCCCTGCTCAGCCAATGTTACAAATCTCTTTTAGGGATGCGAATAAATGCTCAAAGGGCAAGCCACTCCATTATAAGATTCATCCCCCAAATACTCACCTTTGGCTCCCATTTTGGTGCCGAGAGGCACCCTACTTCACAAGTCAGCCTCTTGCCCAGAGCACTTGCTCTGTAGACTAGGAAGTCCACCACTCTGTCTCGTGCTCTGGCTCCTGGTTCTGCTGTTGCTACTCCTCTGCCATTCCAGTGATGTCAAAGCTGCGTCCTGGATCAAGGAGGTTGAATGTACAGGGGTCTTGGGGTCCAAAGGACATGCTCTACTCCTGGCTCTTTTCTCTGAGTGATAGTGAAATGGAAGATTTTACATCCAGCAGGTTGGCACTCACAACCTTGTTAACAATTACTCCCAGATGAATCATATAATCCAATCAATCTCTCCCTTCCCACTTTTTACCCAGACCCATCCAGAAAATGAAAGTTGTCTGGTGGGAGTCACAAAGGCTATGGCTAGGAGAGTATAGTAAATAATTAACTTCTTTTTTTTTTTTTTTAGAGTGAGTGAGTGAGTGAGAGAGTGAGTGAGTAAATGAGAGTGAGTGAGTGAGTGAGTGAATGAGAGTGAGTGAATTAGAGAGTGAGT